CCCACAGTCTGGGTTCTCATTTTACCCACCTTGGAAGGATGGAAGGCTGAGTTAACCTTGAGCCGGTGAGATTAGAACCGCTGAACTGCAGATAACAGTCAGCTGAAGTGGCCTGCAGTACTGCACCCTAACCACTGCGCCACCTCGGCTCTATAAGTTGGGAAACCAATGGAAATAGTTTCAGTTAAGATCAGTTCTGCTTAACCCTTTATACTGAGGACTGATTGACAATATAACAGCTGGCTCACTGTCCCTCTGTTAATACGAAGACCAAAACATGAATAGTAAAAATGATGCACTTTGGGATTTTTAAATTAAATTTGTTATTGTGCATTTGTATGTGTTATTACAATGAGCTCTACTTTTTATTCATTAGAATATGTATTGTTACCATATTTTAAAAAATAAGATCAATAATTTTTCTTTTGAGAAAATTAGGATGATTGGACATTTCCCTGGGTGTTGAATAATGATGGGAAGAGACTGTAATGTGTGCATGGGCTCTACTAATAAATTTCTATTTGCTAAGGTTGTGCATACCTAGATATTTCAGAAGGAAATAAAGGCTAATCAACAACATCAAAAGGGAAAAGCTATAATTACACATAACTAACTATGCCTTGCATGTTTATTAAATAGTTTACATCTTTTTGTACCGAATGGAGCAGCTAGGGAAGCTCTGAAAATTAGGCACTTATATAGTTGTCTCATAGAGTTTCCTATGTTTTGTAATCTGAATGGAAGTAGAATACCGTGTTTCCCTGAAAATAAGACAGGGTCTTATCTTCTTTTGACCCCTGAAATAAGCACTTGGCCTTATTTCCAGGAGGTCTTATTATTTTTGAGGTGCAGGAGGCAGCGAGTGGGGTCACCTCATGGCTGCTGCTGTGTTGCAATATTTTCACGGAGGGCTTATTTTTGGGGAGGGCTTATTTTAGGGTATGCGCTCAAAAGATCGATTATCCTTATTATGCAGGGAGATCTTATTTTTGAGGAAACAGGATATAAATCAGAAATGATAAGCTATTGATCATATTGATTCTCAACATGATAGCTTGGGAATATATTACATAATAACTTAACATAACATAAAACATAACATAAACCCATAACAGTATCTACATGCTGGACTTGTGATTTGTCTAAGTATTGATGAACTTCTTCAGTTCTGTATCTTAAATCACAAACCAGTATACCACATTGAGTGATCAAATATGTTTTTAGAATTGCTTCAGATCTTATCATGCCTTCAAAGCTTTTTGATTTTTAAGAGAACAATGTGAATTTGAATTTGTTAGCAACACAGTTTTTTAAAAATCATAAAAAGATGTAACTATAGAAAAATAATTTTGCTGCATTATTGATACTGTAAAATTTATTCAAAGCATTTAACTGATAGCTAATGAAGAGAAGGACAAAGGGTGACATCATAACAGTGTTCCAATATCCAAGGGTTTACCACAGAGAAAAGGGGGTTGACTTATTCTCCAAAGGACCTGAATGCAGGAGAAGAAGCAATGGATGGAAACGTATCTAGAACTAAGAGTGATTTCCTAACTGAACATCTCTCTAGAACAGTAACGGCTAACCTTTTTGTCGCCGCATGCCGAAAGCGCGTGCACGTGTACACATCCATAATGCAATGCACCCACAATCCCCTGCCCTCGCGCATGCATGTGCGACCCCCCTCATGCTCCCCCCCTCATGCATGTGTGCATTACCCATGCTTTTCCTGCCCCCCCCATGCGTGCATGACCCTCATATGCACCTCCCACTTATCCTCACGCCCCTGCATCCTGTGTATACACACATGTCTCCCGCATGCACACACACCCCGGTGCATGTGTGGCAGAGATCTAAAAACCAGATGGCCAGCAGGAAGAGCACATATGTGCACATTGGAGCTGAGCTGGAATGACTGCTCCCGTGCCTGCAGAGAGGGCTCTGCATGCCACCGGTGGCACAAGTGCCATAGGTTTGCTGTCACAGCTCTAGAACTAAGAGAAATTTCCTAACAGTTAGAACAATTAATCAGTGGAACGACATGCCTCCAGAAGTTGTGGGTGCTCCATCACTGGAGGTTTTAAAGATATTAGACAGCCATTTGTCCAAAATGGAATAAAGTCTCCTTGAGCAGAGGGTTGGACTAGAAGACCTCTAAGGTCCCTTCCAACTCTGTTTTCCTGTTATTCTGAAGAATATCTTTTCTACTATTAACTATTAACTAGACTATGCTATCAAGTCTATGTCAACTCTTGGCAACCACACATATTTTCTCTATGATAATCTTTCTCTAACCTGATCCATCTTGCTACTGGTTATCCTGTTCTTCTCTTTCTTTCCATCCTTCCCAGCATTCAAATCTTTTCCAGAAAGCTTCATGTTTGCAAAATATGTCTGAAGTAGGATAATTAATTATAATTTAAATAAGTTTCCAAACCTTAAACTCTAGCTAATTTTAATATGTAATCTAGTTTAACAAACAATGATCTTACGAAGACTAGCTACAGTATTTTCCTTTGTACTGAAAAGTCAGATATAATCTAAAAAATAAATGATAGTAGCCCAATTTCTCTTTACAGCAACACTAAAGGAAATAAGTGTGCAAGCAAAATGTTTACTGCAGCTCCCCATGTCTCAATTTTATTTTGGATACTTTTACTCTCAAAGGATTTCTGACAGTGTCAGCTGGATCTCCAGCATGGGTTTCTTCAGCATGCTTGGTATTGGCTGTCATAGTAATGGGGAGGGAGGCCTCGGGTATTTGGGATGGGAAAGTGAGCTGGTGTAGTCCCTTGAGAACTGAAAGGGAGGTTTGCTCATGAAATATGGCGCTGCTGAAGGGAGGTGTTTATACTCTCTCAAGGCCAACCATCCTGGGATTCCAAATGGGAAAAATACCTGAAGATGAGCTTTTCCACAACCTTATATACTCAGTGGAGGGTTGCTAATTTTTTTTACTACCAGTTTGGGCGTGCTCATGCATGTGCAGAAGCATCTGGGCAAGTGGGAAGAGCCTCTCGCCATTGCTACTACCAGTTTGCTCGATCTGGGCCGCCTCTGCTCATACTAGACAATGATTGGACTCACAGTGCTGGACCCTGGGGGGGGGGAGGGTTTTGGGGTGACTTTCAATCTGCAACTTTCGCTTGCCTTGCTTTCGCTGCTTATCACTTCAAACTTAGTAAAAGTACCTCTTCTCTAAATCAATGGAGTTGGGGGTTTTCTTTCTTGAGTTTTGAACAGAGGACACCTGACAGACAGTGACCTTCCACAAAGACCCCTAAGTAAATCTAGAAGTCATGGAATAAGATGCCATATTCCTTTAGGATCCCATTATTACAGAATAACAGTTGGAAGGGATTCGGAGGTCTTCTAGTCCAACTCCCTGTTCAAGTAGGAGATCCTATACCATTCTGGAGAAAAGGCTGTTCTTTTTTTTTCTTCAAAACTTCCAGTGTTGAGGCATCCACAACCTCTGGTGGAAAGCCATTACATTGATTAATTATTCCCACTGTCAGGAAATTTGTCCTTAGTTTGAAATTACATCTCTCCTTAATAAATTTCCATTGGTTACTTCTTGTCTTGATCTCAGGTGCTTTGAAGAATAAGTTAACCACCTCTTCTCTATGACAGCTCCTTAAGTATTGAAAGACTGCTCTCATATCATATCATCCCTTGTCCATCCTTTCGTTAGATTAGACATACCCAGTTCCTGCAATTGTTTCTCATGATTTAGCCTCCAGCTCCATAATTATCTTTGTTGTCCTTCTCTGTACTCTTTCTAGAGTATCAACAACTTTTTTCTACCATAGTGACCAAAACTGGATGCAGTATTCCAAGTGGGGTTTCACCAAAGCAGTAT